GACAAACATGCGATGACTAAAAGCATTACAACACTAATAATGGGCCATAGCATTCTGCGTTGCAGGACCGCCTGCTCTGCACAGCATAGCGTCCTTTAGGTGATAATAGGCTGTAGCAGTGGCCTAGCGTTTGAGCATCACCCGCAAAATGTCGAAGAGGTAACAAGGTTCGGAGGGGACGAGCCCCGTCGAATCAAGGCTCGAAGGGATGGAGTCCCGTCAAAATTACAGGTGTGGGAGAGCGCTATAGTAATTTGTATTCTTCGACGATGTTGGCATCGGGGAAATGCCTCATTGTTACCTAGATTTAGTTCTAAGTTCTCTTATGAGTTTGAGGCACAACTGTCCCACGTGGTAGCGGTGCTTTTACCCGAATCCCCACGGCAGGCGGCAGTGGTATCCTGTCTCAGTAGCTAAAGATGGAGGCGCTCATTTTACGTAGCCGAAACCATCCGCTTGCTGCTGCTTCAGTTACTGGAACGAGTGTACTGTTCGTTCCCATGCATGTGAGCGGTTCGAGCGCTCACCATGGGCCAGCAGGGAACTCAATGGATGACGGACTTACTTTCGGAAAAAGCATGAATGTTTTCGACACTTGCTGACCAGATGTGTTGTCTTGCAGACTGAACACTACCTGCACAAGTATAATTATCACATTCAAGGGACACGCCGGTGCGGTTGATGAACACAGGCCACACCATCTGTTGGGCGGCTTCGCGAAATTTCGACTACTTCGATGTAAACGAAGACTTTACAATCAGAGAGTTGCATTGGAAGACTAGGCCAGCGACAAATAGAGACACGAGACAAGCCAAAATCACCGAAACCAAACGAGAAATTCATAAAAACGACTCTTGAGTACAACGAGAGAAGGTTTCGGTTTGTTGGTGAAGTACGATGATAAGTGCAAGCACACCACCAGCGAACAACTGAACATACATAACTGTTGCCAGCCCCGTGCCGCCCCTCTAATGCAATCGATATAGCAAAAAAGTTTTTTTATGAATGTCAGTCGTACTCTGCCGGCATTCCAACGGCTGTCTCCGACATCTCGCCGCCACGTAAGCAGGCAGCAAGCCTTCTTCTTCTTCGGTTGACTGAATCGAATGATTTCGAACCAAAGCGCATGGTCTTTTTTTTGGCGTAACGATACTGCTCGGTCATCGTTTGACTTCTACGGACTGCCACTATCTGACTCACGACTGATGGTTGCCGATTGGAGACGCGGATGCTCTGTGAAGAAAGGCAATAGATTGATCCATCACACGCCACATTCTTTACGTTCACATTCACATCGTAATTCAGAAGCGGCGAGGGGCTGCTCAGTGAATACAGAGGCCTCATACGGCCAGAATCACAATCGAGCTGCAGCGGGGCCAACCAACGGGCTGTCATTGCCACTGGTAACCCCTGCTTGTCTTTGAAAATAACGTTTATGGAACGGCACGAAATGCAAAACACAGTAGCAAAAGTCCTACCCTACAGCTAATTTAGGTTCCCAGATTAAGTATAAACTGGCAAGGGAACATTGAAATGGTGAATTTATACTGTAACCGCCCAAACTCCCTCCTCTGTAGGCCAGGGATAGATAGTTTCTGGACATTCTTGGTTCTATGTCACCCACTTATCGTCACTTCCTTGATCTAAGTTCCCGTAGGAGTAGCAAACTGAAGGAAACCGCTATGCCCACATAATCGCAGTTTCACCTTCGCGTGGGCATTAACTTGCAGGCAGCCCCACTGACTGTAATTCAGCGCACCACTCAGAGATAGGAGACGTACGCCTCGCCCATCACCACGTCCCAGACTGATTTACTGTATTAAAGGTGGGTGCGGTTAAGATACATGCAAAGGAAACCATGGTCCTCACCAGGATCGTGCTACCAGTCCGAATAATCACAGGAGTCTGTTTCACAAAAACTACGTTTAATGCTTTCGAAAACGGGCATGCTATGCAATTCTTTATAACAAGCACCGCTTAGAGTTGCCTTTGCGCGAAATTTCGCTGAAGCCTCCAAAGATCAGGACTTGGGTAGGACTTTCTGGTTTGTTAACCTTCTTCTTCTCAGGCTATGAAAGGCTAGCTGCAGTGATTCCCACGAATCCCATACGCTAGGGAAGGGATTCCAGCAAAGTGTGAGTCTTCTCACGCTTTCAATAGCGCCGATATTCGAATGATTCATTGAACACGTGGACACTGTCTGCCTCCAAAACGTTGTGCTTACAATAGGCCATCTATACCCAAATTGGTGAAGGGCAGGAATTATTTGGGTAGTTCACATGGACTTTACACTGAGGATTTTGCACGTTTATCATTCGTGCCTTTCCGACAATAACGTGGGGTTATCGTGTACTTTACATTTCACTTCGATGACGTAATCGTAATGCACTTATAATCGG